ATAAGTGGTTATTAAGTCGGCTAATGATAACTCCAAATCTGTAACATTCTACGGTACCACAATCTTTGATGTTCAAATTAGTCAGTCAACTGCCTGGAATCAATAACATAAGTTCCTCCCACATCCAACAGCCCCTTGGAACTTCACAATATGAAGAGAACTCAAGACAGGAAAAAAAATTGTGAGAAAATATAAAATGTTTAAATGTGTGGTTTTTGAAGAGTTGCTTGTTTTTGATTATTTGTGTTTATTGTCTTGCTTGTTCCTTGACTATTTGCATCTATTGTATTGCTAGACCTTCAACCTAGAACTGACCTTAATACATGCATGTAGTCAAAATGCTATAAAAGCAAAAAGGAGGAGGGGAATGGGATGGGGAGTCTAGGGAGAGGAAATAGAGAAAGGGGATGACATCTGAAATGTAAATAAATAAAATATCCAATAAAAATGAGTAAAGGGTTTAATTAAACAACAGTGTACATATTTCTATCTATGTATCATAAGACTATTCTAATGAGAAATATAAATTTAAGTTATCAAGTTAAAACTTATTAATTATACATATTATGTATAATAAAATATGACAGATATTAACACTTTATTTACTTACACTATAACTTTTGAAAGTGCAACAAATGTTCCACCATTGCATATTAAGGTAAGGGAAGAGTTTGTAAGTTGTAAAGTATCCTTTAGCATTTGATATAAACAAACAAGAAAACACCAAAAACCACAAAAAACAAAATCATGCTTAAAGTGATTATGACATTTAATTATGTTGAAAGCAAGAGTTTGAGAAGTGAACATTCAAGAACAATATATTCTTGCTGAAACTTCCAAAATATCATACCAGGACCTGAAAGGTTGAGGACCTGCTAGGATTTGGATCAGTTCTACTTGGTTCTTCCATAGTCTTTCTAATAGATCTTCTAGCAGATTGATCTTGGCTTGGCTGCAGAATAGTAATATAGTTAATCTTTTTATCTGAATACCAGTGTTTCAAAGAAAGAGGAGACCAATAGCAGTTCTCTCCAAAGCAGACTAAGAATGGCATAATACTATATCTACCACATTATACTGATCAAAGCAACAGAAAATAGAATCAAGTTTAAGGGAGGTTGCTTTCTTCTCAGTGCAGATGGCAATATATTTGTTGCCTTCTCTAAGCCTACCATTTCTTCTGAATTTTTCTCATTATCTGTAAAAAAATGCAACTGTTTCAAAACACCAACAAGTAGGTTATTAGAAAGAGTTTGAGCAATGAAACAGTTCTAATTAAACAAGTATAATCATGCCAATTATGAAAATGGGCCTATGGAGATTTCATCTTGCATCAGCAGTTAGGTCCACTTTTTGTTCTTCCCAGGGACCTGGGTTTGGTTCCTGGTATACTAATTGGAAGCTCACTATAGTCTATAATTACAGTTCCAGGAGATAATATGCTCTTTTCTGGGCTACCCGAGCATCATACATGCAAGTGATGCATGTTTGTGCACAATTCCTCATATATATGTTAATATTTATTAATTACACATTATGTAATCATATTTATAACACATATTGTAGATGCAATATTTATATTTCTATACTTATAATGTAATATTTACAATATATATTAAAATGTCTTTAAATATTATTAGATGACCTGTCAGTTTGCATAAAGGGACTATGGAATTTGGGATATTACCTGTAGTGTTATCCAGTCATGACTTGTAAATATTTGAATTGTCCAAAACAGGTTTACAACACAAGATCTTTCAGATTATGCTCAAAGAATTCACTGTTTTATGTTGTCTTCAAAATATTCTCAACAACTTATTATATAAAAATAGTGTGAATAATTTTTCCTTTATTAAATATAAAGCTTGACTTGCTCTGAATTTTAAGGTCTTCAATAGCAAAGGGATTTCCAACAAAAGGTTAAATGTTGCCTTTGTAAAGTCTATTGGAAAATTAAGACCGTCCCAATCTAGTCTCCATCCTTATGTTTGACAGTGGTCTGACTTATAAGATTAAGCAAATCAACTAAATAACTAAATAAAGTTTTCAAAATAATACAGTAATCAAAAGTCTGCAAGGGGAGTAAAGACAGCTGATTAACAAATCCAAATATCAAATATTGGGTGCTTTCCTTGAATTTCACGAATTGTTAAAAGTGCTATACTGTATATCTACATTTCTTAAACTTTTATTTTGTAAAGAATGTCACTGGAGGCAAATGGAAACTATAACACTCAATATCTTCGGGCCAGTTAATCCATGTGATAGTGTCACTTGGACACCAATTCTTATAGAAGAATGACACTGGTGCATCAATACAAAGACTCATTGACAATTTGCTTCTCCTAATCATCCTTTGAAGCAGGGAGGCAGCCTGTGAAAAGGTCATCCCTAATGGAGTTGCAAAAGCAGCTCCTCAAAACACACCATAGACCTCTCAGCTTCAGTCTCTCTGCCTCTGCTTTCTCAGATGTAAAGTGGAAGTGCTAATCTTATGTTGGGGAGTCAGTATAAACACATGAATATAATTGAGAAAATTCTTTCTAGAGAAATATCTTCGAAATAATTTGCAAGTTATTTTTCTGGGAAGGAATTCATTATGAACATTATGATAAAATGTGGGTCTTTCCTAACCTAGATTCAGTGAGTGCTATTTTTGTGAATACCTAGTTCACTGCTTCCCATTTTGTCCTCAATCCCATAATACACTGCACTAAGAAACAAACAAACAAAATAACAAAAACAAAATAAAACAAAACAAAAGTCCATGAATCTCAGCAGTCATGAGGGTAAGTCTGAATCTGTTTTCCTGGAATGCTACTTATTCTGATTGACTCAATTAGTATTTCATAAAGAAATTTTATCGAAACAGTGATGCAATGCATGGACTATGAGAATATTTTTTAATATCTAAAATCCAAAGTCAGATGTATTTTGTAGATCTGATGATGAGTCACCACAACTGTAAACACAGAAATTAACATCTCTGTGAGACTGCTTTGGAGTAAAATCAGTTAAAACCTTTAATTGAGTGTTTTACTAGTGGTGTTTATCTTCTGTATTTTTTCTCTGTGAGTCTCCAGGGGTTCTTTTACCCTTCCCACAGTCTTCTTTCTAAGTATTTTCTCAGATGTACTGTGCAGTACTGTCCTTGGAAGGCTCCTATTTCCCAAGATTCCCTCCTGAGATGACCCTGCTTGAGAAGCTTCTTAGGTGTATTATCTATCCTGCTGTGACAGTTGTTAATGTACGCATTAATGTTGTAGGCAAATAGACAAAGTTGCAACCTAGTTTTTAAACATATTTGTCTCCTAGAGAGCAATAACTATTATTTCTGTCTGAATGTTTATAGACATTCTTCTTGGCACACTCAATAACTTTCTTTCCCTTTCTTGGAATCAAAACTCAAGCCCACCAGTCTCAAAATATAAACTAAATAATATTCTGTCCCCTTCAAACAGTTTTGAGTTACCTACAAAATCTCTTTCCATTTTGTTTGGAGACAGATTTGTGGCAGCCTTAGTTCGCAGTTATGTACAGGTATTTTTAAATCTTCCCTCGAGTTGCTTTAAAGTTTTTGTTATACCTAAGTATGTCCAAGCTAGAGTTTTATTTGATTTCTTTAATTAAAATTAACTAACAATTAAGTTCTATAAGTTTTTCTTCCCTTCTTGAAAGTTGAGAAGATGTACCTGTGTAATAAATTGTTATAAGTGCTATCTTTGGGAAAGAGCATCAATTAGAAGTTAAAAATCAATACTGATTATTTCCATGGGAAAGTTAAGGAAAACATACTTCCTATATTTAAGAAAGTAGTTCTTTGTGTTGGTTAATGTAATTCTGTTGCAAAGTACAGTGTGAGAATCGCATTAAAATTTTATTTTCTAAGATACGTGAGAAAAAGTTACGTCTGAGAAAACCAACTATTTATAGTATATAAAATCTTAATTATTATAATTGTGTGTTATAACTGTGGTTTCATTAGTTATAGAGAATGAAGCTCAGTAATCAGTGGAAATATTAATATAGGTAGAAAATGATACAATGAAACCCCTACCGTAGTGGTGGCCTATATAGAGAGATGTGCTTTGCTTATACATTCAAACTGCTTATAACAGCATAATAAAAAATTCAGTTTCTTAACCTAAGTCAAAATTTTGTAGGTTTTTTTAGTAGAAGCTCTTATCAGCTTTGTGTTTATATAAATTAGATGGTTGCTATATGTTGGATTTTTATAATAAATTTGATATATATTTATTAGGAAGTTTCTGTGTAGTAGATAACAATGGCACATGAAGTTGAGCATAAGAAGTAAAATCTGCTTTACTATGGCATATGTGGGATGAGTAAGACTCAGAATATTAGATCTGAGATCAAACCCATCTAGTGGTAATTAGTCAAGCAAAAAGGAATTTCAGATAGAAACTGACATGTGATGATGTTTTTGCTTAGAAATAAAAGTTAAGAAGGAACTGAGGAAACGTGACACATATAAGGTAAAAATGACAGCGTTTAAAGGAGAAACTCAGAAATTTAAAACAGCACTTCATCATGGTTTGACAAGGGGCTCCTACTCAGGCTCCCAGCATGAAGAGCCTGCCGCTGCTGCCGAGGAGTCTGCAATGTGTGCAGTCAACACCTTTAGGGGTGGGATTAGTGGGTAAATCAGTAAGACGTCTGAGTGCTCACCCAGGAAAGAAAACGAAGTGACCAGGGAATAAAAAGATGAGAAAACTAATAAAAAATGTAGATTTGACAAACAAAAGTGTTAAAGACAAAGACTATGAAGACACAGCTCAGGTGCAAAACAAGATGTAAGAAGGAAAACAAGCTAGAACAAGGGAAAAGGAAGGAAGGTAATCCAGAAAGAGAACAGTGAACCAGATCTAAAAAAGGGGAGGGGGTGGACGGGAAAAGACAGCAAGAAAAATTAAAATGTTGCAGTAGGGACATGACAAGGGATTCCTCTTACGAATCTTAAGAGTCTCAATATATACCAGCTAACTAGAGTTCATAAAGTCTGCTATATATGCCAACAGGTTGACTCCAGTCAAGAACGCCACTGCCAGTTGGCGGTCCCAGACACACACTGAGTGCGCACGTTTATAACTGCAGCTCGAATCCATTATTCGATTGGGCAAACCATGAAACCCTTCATTGAAATTGTAAAGAGGCCAGAGGATAATGACGGTGATGTACAAGAGGACACACACGAAAGTCATGCCTGTCAAGAAGGTGGGGAATGGGATGGGCAGGACTTTCGTACTTTTCCCCAGGATGAGCAGGATAGACACCATGGTTAGGATGAAGCATATGATATACACGGCCAGACACCACTCCAGGGCAGGTTCCTGCATGTGCAGGTGTTGGTTGTTGAGGAAGAGAAAGATGATGCAAGCTACGAAGGACTCAAAAACCTTGAACATCCCAGTCATAGAGGCCATGTAGCCAATGGAATCTCCAGGCCTTGAATGAGTCCAGGTTACTTCTGTAGCATAAGCCACACAGGAGATGCTCGAGAATATAATGGCGCAGACAGCGTATTTTCTGATGTAATCGTGAGACATGAACCACACATAGGTGATAGGATAGATAATGGAAGATGACAGACAGAAGAGTAGTGAATAGCAGGCACAGGTGATGGGGAAATTCTGCCATGACAGGGGCAAGCGCCTCTGGAATCCAGCCAACTCCACGGCCAGGATGATCACTGTCATGGCGAAGCTGAAGCACCAGGAGAACAGGCACCATCTTCCCATGGGGCCCATCCAGGCACCCGTATAGATCACTGGTGAGAAAGCCAGGCTGGTAGAGCATAACTGCAGCAGCCGGAGAAGGCCCAGAGGCTGAAACAGTGCCCGAGGGGATGCCACGATAATCAAAGAGTCCAGGCCTGGGGATAATGACTTCGTGAAGGTGGTGTGAGTCACTGTTGCTGGTATGCCTGCCATCTAATCTGAGGATCTGACAAAGTCCGGATTGTGAAGAGAGATTGAATTTTAGTCATGAAAAAGCATGGTTGTAATTCTTCCCCGAACTGTTACTTCTGAAGTTGCTCATGCTGTTGGCTTTTTAAAGTGCCTCAATATCAAAGCATACCTGTTCCCTCTGGCTGTGACTTAGGCAGTTATATGTGTTTTAAAGATGGTAGGTTTTGCGGGTAGGCGGTACCTAGCATACTTCCCCTTTAATTAAAAAAAAAATCTCTGGCAGTCAAAAATCTAGAGCATCAGATAGAGGCTTTAAGTACAGAGTTCCTAGGCCCCTGCCAGGCTTGGAAATAGAAGTTTTATTAGGTTTACTAAAATCTCATTACCTAGAGTCCATCCTAAAAGTAAGAGATAGATGATAGATAGATGTCCTTTCTCCCTACTCCCTTCTGTGAATCAAATGACAACACACACACACACACACACACACACACACACACAAACACGGAACTAGGTGAAAAATCCAATATGGTCTTAGAGAAAACTCTCATATAAAAATGGATCCTGCTAGCTTTCCTAGTTATAAAAGAAGATGACTAAGAAGTCATATTATTATTTTAGTTTTATTCTCATTTAGCGCAGGTTAGCTTGGAACTTGATCTGTATCTAAGGCCGGCCTTAAATTCTTGGTTCCCCTGTCTCAACTTCATAAGTGTTAGGATTACAAGTTTTCCTGTGTGCTACATTTTTTAGTCCTGTTCTTTAATAAAGAAGTTTGATAATTGTCATTCTTTCTTCTCTTGACTATATGTGGAGAGAGGGATGGAGGACATAATAGGAATGGGGTATTGTGAGGATGTATACATGCATACACATCTGTTCTTTAGTCTCTTCTAGCTTTCTTCATTTTTTTTTTGTGTAGTACTGACATACCTTAAACACATACATGTATAAATTTGTAAATTTGTAATTATATAAATATTTGCTTTGTTTTCTATTGATTCTTTGTGCTTTGGGTTCCTATAGCTTCTCTGATAAATCATAGAAATCTTGTCGCATCCTCCTATACCCAGATACATCTCCTTTTAAAAAATCTATATGTAAACATAACAGGAAAATATTCAAGGGTAATGTAAACAAGGTAAACTCATTGTGGCCACAATTGCCATGTCAAGTCAGTGTGTCATCTCCTGAAGCAAGTCTTAAATCAAATGAGGAAATGAGTAGCTATCCTGGTGACATTAATGCCACTACTACAGGTAGAAACTTCCTGTTAAGCCTGGCATTGCTGTGCTTCACAGTGCTCACAGATGGTAAAGATTAAAGATTATGTTTCTCCTCTAATATTAAACATAGTACTTTGTAGCATTAGGAATGTTACCCAGGATGGATGATGGTTCCGTGCCACTTCCACCTTAATGTCTTGTTTTCCTGTGACTCAAGTTTGAAGTGTCTTGAGCAGTAAGATCTCACTGTCAAGGTCTTGAGGACAACTTAGAATATGAGCAATAGCTAATATGTTTATAGGGTTTTGTGAGTGGATGGACATCATCTATAAAATAAAATAGTCCATTCCTTGCACCATGCATTTTTGGTAGTCAACCCTTTAAAGTTAACTTCATTTGGCCTCATTTTATATGTATATTTTTATAAGCATATATATATTCCTGTACTTTGCTCTCTCATCCTTAAGCCCTTTTAAATCTTCCTATTCTTCATTCTTTATTTGAAAGCCACACCCACAACTCCTTGATCTTTTTGGAAGAGGGGCATACAGATGGTTAAAATCTAGTCAGGAAATATGGGCAAAAAGCCAGTCTTTTCTGAGCATGATGGACAATTGCACAGATAAACTCACAGACATTTTAACAGCATGCACAAAACTTGCACATCCCTCAGCATGGAATGTTTGTGGTGATGGAAGTTTCTCCCATAGGTTAGTATTTATTGGCAGCTGCCCCCAGTATGTCAATAACCTTTTTGCAGCTGGGCATATAACCAAGTAGATACGGTCAGCCTAAACTGCATTTGGTGAGTTTGGAAACAAGTTACTAAACAAGGATAGAAAATTGTGTGGCTAGGAAAGGGGTGGATATAGGAATAGTTGTAGGAGGCTAGTGAGTATAAACAAAATATGTTATATGTCATTCTCAAATAATCAATATGAATGCAGTCTGTATTAAAATGATGTTTGCTGTGTGTGTGTGTGATGCTTTTAGTGTGTGCATGTGTGTATGTGTGTGTGTGTTTGTGTACACAAGTGTAGGTGTATAGGTGCACACAGGAATTCAAAGGACAGCCTCCAGTCTTGGTCCTCATCAATTGACTTGAGGCGCACTCCATGAGAAGGAACTCATACCTGACAGTACTTGAGTGCCCAAGAATCAGGGACTAGGTAGCCCAGAGACATAGAGCAAAACCAAACACTATTAGTCACAACAACCAACCAAACAAATTAATTAATTAATTAAATGATTCCTATTGATATTGTGATATACTTATAGATCAATGTCTTATCCAGTCATCATCAGAGACTACCTCTGGCAGCAGATGAGAACAGATTCAGGATCCCACAGCCAGACATTATACTGAGAGTGTCTGAATTGGGGCTATCCATCAGATCAGCTCAGGATTAGGATCAGATCATGAGATCAGGGAAGAGGACTCAGAAAGTTTGTAAGAGCCAGGGGAAAGAGAGAAAACATCAAGAGAACAAGACCCTCTGAATCAACTAAGCAAGCCACATATGAGCTCATGGAGACTGAAACAGCAGGCACAGGGCCTGCAGAGATACAGAGATCTATACCAGGTCCTATGGGTATAAGTTATAGCTATTATTGGACATCAATGGGAGAGGAGCCCCTTGGTCCTGTTGAACCTTGATGATCCAGGATAGGAGAAATTAGGCTGCTGAGGTAGAAGTGGGTGGTCAGGGGAGCACCCTCATAACGACAGGAGAAGGATGGAGGAGATAGGAGGTTTGTGGAGGGAAAACTGGAAATGGGGAAAACATTTGGAATGTAAATAAAATAACCAATAAAAAACTCAGGAATTTTTTTAACTAAGAAAAACAGAAAAGATGTCACACGCAATTCAAAATGTACACATTAGCTTCTAATGTTGGTAAAATCAAATCACACACAAAAAAAGGTTATCTCCAGGGCCATTTTAGCTATGCCTCATTTTAGCACTGGGGTGGGTCTGTTGCCTAGGTTCTTATTGAGGATCACATTCTGAGAGTTCAGGGTGCTAGTGGACGTAAGGCTGTAGAACACAATGACCCAGCTCTTCCTTACTTTTCAACCATTGCTGATACAGAACTCTAGAGCAGGATATTTAGATTATTGCATCTACAGAACTGGTTGAATATGGTATCTAGCTGATTGAGATACTATCCATAAAATGCTTAGAAACCTGACTAGAGTTTGGTAATGGGCCCAAATCTGAAGAGTATATTTAACCACACCATAATTATAGCCCTGAAACCCTCTACTCATATGATTTCAGGTTAATGCAATGAATGAACACTTACACTAAATTATCAAATAGTACATGTGTTGGTTCAAAATATACTCAATGTATAACTAATTACTACCACTGAATGAAAAAAATATGACTTTAAAGATTTATAACATAGATGTGGACAAGTAAACTTCAGCTTTTTTTGTAGTTCCATAAACAAAATGTTTTAAAAATGCCTAAGAGTGTGAACTTTTTGAAATGAAGAGAGCTGCTTTAATCTTTTGTCTTAGCACTAGAGATATATATGACTCACAACCAAGTTATATTATTCTGTCCTAAACTATAAAATTAAATATGTGTTTCAATTATATAAGAGTAAAGATAAAAATTGTCTGCATGTAAGAGTGATATGTGTTTTGATGGTGTACATTCTTGAGAAGTATCAAGTGCTTACTTGACTGTGTCTTTCAAAGAATATTTGTAAAATATTATAATTTTCCAATGTATGAGTCTAACAAAATTTCCTGGATATTCAGTGTATGGTCAAGTCATATTTGAAATATTCTTCCATTGTACGAAGGGTTTTATATCTGTATAATTTTCATAAAAGATTACTATGCAAAAAGTACCTTTCAGGGAAAATGCATATGTGAATGACTACATGATTTTATGTGTGCCGGAAATCATAAGTCAGATTCCTTACTGATGAAGCCATTTCTCTAGCTGACAACTGTCGATGCCGTCTATAAATCCCATGAATATTAAGGCACTGTTCACTAGCACATTTGGCATTTTGAAGTCAGGCAAATAGAACTCATGAAATATGAAAAGAGTGTGCCATGTCACGTTGTGGAAAATACTGCCATTAAGATGATGTATGGAGAAGTTCACACCTTCATCTGCTGAGAGACTCAAATGTATTTTCAATCGTCTGTATTACATGTGTTGACAGTGTTACCATTGGTTTATGCCCTACTTTTCTCCAAGGTTTAGGAGGTCCCAAAGCTAAGCTTATGTGAAAGACTAATGTTATTTTCCTGTTTAGGTTTTAAACACAGCACCATGCTTTTACTGGTATTAAAACCTTTGGTAGATTATGAAATTCTTCTATCTCATAAATGTGCCAAATATCTTATCTTGGTTTGCAGGAAGGCCGTGTGTGTGTGTGTGTGTGTGTGTGTGTGTGTGTGTGTGTGCACACGCGCATGTGTGTGTGTATGTGTGTTCTTTTATCTTTTTGTTTCCTCTCTTTAGCTCTAAAGGTTGTATTTGCAATTGCTAATAGTCTATAATCCCTAAATGACAGCCAAATTAGACTCTTAAAAATACTTAAAATTTTTTTATTGTTATTTTTCATGTATATGAGTGTTTTGCCTGCATGTATGTATATATATATATTTGTGTATGTGTGATATATATATATATATACCATAGTTCTACTGGTGATGTAGAGAATGAGAAAAGGACCATGGAAGGGATGGAAAAGGAAGGACATGAGAGAAAGGTGTGAACATGCTGAATTTGTATCTCTAGGTCTTATGAAAAGAAACACACTCCTC